GTATTATATATATATATATATACAAACAATCTCTTGATGCAAATAGCATAGAAATTAACTGAGATGATTTATGCACCTACAGGATTGATCAAATGTAATTTTATATTTTAGGCTTCATTTAAGATATTAATTCTTAACAATTCCTTTGAAATATTGATCTCAATTAGCTCTCATCATAGGGTTCAATATATTAATGTATATGTCACTAAATCACAAAAAATAAACAGCATCAATCTAATCATCCATCAATGGAATAATATTAACAGGTAAATCACCAAAAATTGCATTTTTAGATTGCTAAGTTGATTAATCAACTACATCAAATAAGATTTATTCATCTTCACACATAGGCATAGGTTTAATACAACAACAACAACAAACAAACAAACATTTATCCCACTAAGGGTTTGTTTGGAGCAGCTACAGCTTATCCCGGTAGGTTGTTGATCAACAACTTATCCTGATAAGATGGTTGGCTGTTTGAGGCAGTTATTTGTGGTTAAATGATCATTCTGCCCCTGTTAAAACCTTTTGAAGGAAAATTAAATAATGAAAATCAAATGTTCCAAGGATTTAATGAATATTATGTTGAAGATCATATCCTTGCAATGGACGATTTTGTAAGTAATTTTCATTGTTTACTTTAACCTTGTAATTAGTGATTGATTAATTCTTAGATGAATTCTTTTTATTAAACTACAAAATTAAGAGGATTTTTGTTTAGGAAATTCAAACTCAAACCATCCTGGACGGCAATTAAAGCTAGCCTACAGAGTATTGTTATCATCTAAATACCAATCCTCTTAAGAAAATTGAGAACTTATGAATCGTTTTAAAATGCAAATAGTATAAAAACACAAAAAATATCCAACACGAAGGGCAACTGAATTTACTAATAATTATCAAATACAATCATACATTTTATTAGAACAGAAAAAAGCGTTGACGAAAGTGATAATTTTCAATGTGAATTTTCTTCCAAATTAAAAATAAGCCTTAACAAACAGCTAGACCTGCAACTCACCATAGGGCATCACAAACCGTTAAACTACAGAACGACTGCAAAACTCCTGCATAGGCACCACGAGTTGAGAACTATCCACGCCGCAGAACAACTGCATAAAATTGAAGAGATTTTCACCAACCGGCAATGCAAGCTGCTCGATCCTCTTCTCCATGTCGATGTCTACCATCGGAGGTAACGTTGCAAGGTCCTCAACAGATACTCCAATCTTGGTCGCTGCCTCGACCTGAATGGCTCCTGTCGCAGCATCGGCGATGTCTGCAGGGTCGGGCCAAGGGGGGAAGAGGAGAGCTGAGGGCGGGTGTTGTGGACAGCCCCGCGGAATAGGAAAGGCTAGCCAGGGGTGTTTGGGTGGTCTTTGTAAGTCGAGATCCCTTCGTTGTCATCCCAGCTATGTATCACGAAGGTTTGTTCACAAATTCAATGATTTTGGAGGCGAGAGAGAAGGGATCGCGATAAAGACGAGGGCAGCAAAGTAAAAGTCGCGAACGAACGCAGACCACAAGGTCGATCCCGCGGCCAAGTTTATTAAAGAATCAAATACGGCGTTTTCTAAAACCAGGTCCGGACGCATTTATCAAACTAGACGGCGATGTTTTGAAAAAAACACCGCACTTATAAGCTGCCCCAAATGGGGCCTAAGTGAGATCGGCTACATGAATCCTTTTTCTCCATTGTGTCCTATTTAGTGTCATATTTTCATTTATTTAAATTAGTGTCATATTTTCATTTAAATCTAATAAATTAAAATCATTTTTTATACAAAATGCCCAAGTCATCCTAGGTCTACCTCTGTCTTTCTTAACATACTTCAAATCTAAGACATCTACTCTTCTAATCAGATCATCAAATGGTCAACGTTTAATGTGTCAAACCATCTAAGATGACTATATCTAATTTTGTTCGTCACTGGAGCTACACCAACCCTATCACGGATATATTCATTTCGCATTTTGTCTCTAAGCGTAAAGCCAGTCATCCACCTAATCATTCTCATCTCGGCATCACTTAACTTAGTTTTAAGCTTATCTTTTAAAGGGCAACATTCAACGCCATAGAGCATTGCGAGTCTCACCACAATCTTATAAAATTTTCCTTTCAGTCTAAGCGATATTTTTCTATCACACAACAAGCCTGAAGCATTCCTCCACATCAAACAAACAACTTGAATTGTACTAACAACATCCCCATCAATATCACTATCACTTTGAACAATATACCCAAGATATTTAAAGCGTTCACACCCTTTAATAATTTGATCACCCATAATTACATTTCTGTCACTAGAGCTACTACTAGTAAAATTACATTCATGTATTCAATTTTAGTTCTACTCAAACGAAGGCCTTTAGACTCCATGCATAGGTTCAATGTATACTAAAATTTAAGTTAAAAAAATGATCACTTATTCAATTTTAATTTCGATTTATAATTAAAACTTTTGATCAATTATAAGCTCTGGTTCATAAACATGATCTATTGTAGACGTAGGTACAAATTCAACGTTATCAATATATATTAACATCTCTAATGAACAGTCAAGAATCACATTTTCTTCAAAAAAAAAAAAAATCAATCATATACAATTCCTACATAAGTGTATTCTTCATGGGCTATAGATTAGATGTAAGTGAATTTTCCTTCAGAATTGACATGGGTACCATAGCCCTAATAGAACACTCATAAAGTCTCAAAATGAAAAAATCTAAATAAACCTCAAATAGTATTTTCATTGAATTGTAGCTTAGGCCCTTCCTAAAATCTTGCCTAAGACCTTTTAATGAAGCAATTAGTAGTAAATAAATAAATACCCTATGGGCAAATGATGCTTAGCCACAAGACATGTAAACAAAACATAATAGTCATATAGACTTTAAACTTTTTGTTTGCTACCTGAAATGGATTATGAAATTCATTACATATTCACCAAATGATAATTATTCCTCCTTAAACTTATATTCCATGCTAATCCGTATTGACTTTATGCCATTTAAAACACATTGTCAAACAATTGAGCATGTCTCGGTTTTGTTTCGATAATCTTAAATTTTTCATAATTAAAAAAACTATAATGTCTAAAACATGATTCAAATTATTGATCCCATGAAAGAAAATTTAAGATCATAACCCCATCAAATAGAGTAAAATTTTGACCTCTCAGTAGTTAAATTGTTGCTTACTAGAACCATAATTTACCCTATCCTTCTTAAATTGCTTCATTTATTATTTTTTATCCGCATAATTAATATGTCACATTTAGTTGACATAATGGAAAAACATTAAGCTCTAATACCAATTTGAAAGAGGCCAATTTACGATTAAGGGATCCGTAACATGATTCAAATGAGGAAGCATGATGCTCATAATCGTAAATCATTAAATAATTTTAAATTTGCTTCTAAATATAAACATGAAATACTAGAATTAAATCAAATAAATAATTAAAAGATTAAAACTCAAGAAATTAAATGAGGAATTAGAAAAAAAAATTAACAAGCTGTTAAATTTAATTTGCATAAATTAGACTTCTATATTATTTTTTTATAAAAAAATTACCAAACAAATCAATATCATATCATATAGATAAAACTAGAACGTGCAAAAAAATACAGAAGTAAAATAAAGAAGCTTCATATAAGCATAAGAAAATAGCTTCCCCTGGATTTAGGCAATCTCACATGTACCGTGCTTGAAGAAATCTAAAATTGAACTTGCACACATAAGATTGAAACCTTGGAAGAAATTTTATTCAGGCCAAAATCACTGTTATATGCCTCAAAACATCTATTTATAGATATGCGTAAGATCGGCATGCCCAAGTTTAAATTAAAATCCCAAAAGACAAAATTATTTCAAGGAAATGCTTCAAAACATCTATTTAAAGATATGCATAATATAAAATCTGTTACTTGGGCTCAAACTTTGTGATTTTAGATATGCAGAATATGCATAATTTTTTAAGAAAATTTTTAAAAATGCATAATTACTTCAGAACATTTACTTGTAGATATGCATAATATGCTTCACAAAATCAATTGATAACATTTCCTCTTTTTATAGTAAATGAGCGAGTTCATGAGCAAAATCAAATTCATAGGATTGAGTTTGAACTAATACAATTGAGCTCAAACTTTATTAGTTAGTCATTCTCAAGCTCAAGCTGAGTATGACCCAAACTCAACTCGACCAGTTTATAAGTGAAGGATTGCAGGCAGAAAGGCAAGGCTTTTCTTAACTAATAAACCTTTTCTTTAAAACGCAAGATCACCATCGCTTCACACACAAAAGCGTCATCCAAAGTTCAACAGCGGAATCCCGGACAAAAAAAAGGAGGGATAAACCCAACACCAGAAGCTCAGAAACTGTGACAGAAATCAGAAGACAAACAAAAACCAGCATGGAACAACTTAAATCCAGAGTCATCCCCAAAACAAATCACAGACTTCTAACAGCTTCAGCGAGTGCAAGTTCATGCTACCCCAAAACAGTATGATCTGGAAGAATAACAGACATAAATAGGTGCTTTCATCTGAGTAGATACGTTATGCAGAAAAGTCACATACAGAAGATTGCCGGCAAATAAACTGAAAAGCTGGAGGAATAAGATACCTTCCACAAAAGACAGACGAGACGAATTACGTGGGAGATCGACAGAACTGTAAGAACTAAGAGAGATTTGATTTGGGATTGATTACCTGAAAAGTTTACTCTTTTGGTACAAGAAGAATCACGGATCGCCGCTAGGGTTGGCAAGTGGACGACAATATTTGACCTGAACAGAAGAGTAAAACCAGGATATGCAATGGAAAAATTGAAGGGCTGTCGATTCGATCAAATTTGATTCATTCGATTAGATTTCCAAAATAGATTATGATTTTTAATATTTTAAAACCACAATGTTCAGTTTTTTTATTATTGATTCAATGTTTTATTTCATTTACTTGAATGAATTAAGAAATTATAATTTTAAAATTAAATAAAAAAATTCATGAGATTAGTATGTATTATTTATATCAGGGGTGTAATTCTTAATATTTTGTTCATAATATAATTCCAACAAATAAAAAAATTTTAATTTGATCAGTTTAATCATATAAATTTTTTATCCGTGTTAGGAAATTCATGACAGTAGAATAGCAAATTATCATCTTAGCATGGTACGAAATTCATCACACACTCAGAAAAGATAAAACAATTAATAATGACGTCAGAAGTTTTTCCATGAAAACCCGAAAAGAGAAAAAACTACGGAGACTGACCCAATTAAGAAGTTTCATTATAAAAAGACGATTGACAATCATTGGTGGCGTCCAGTCAGTGAAGGTCAACAGTGGTTGACGGTGATCAACTGTGGTCGACGAATGTCGACGACAATCGGCAGTGGTTGACGGCGACAGGAGTGCTCAAGGCGGTCGGTGGTTGTCGACGGCGACCAGTGGTGGTAGACGGCGGTCGGTTGTGGTCGACGGCGGTCGGTGGCGGTGCTACATTTCAGTTTCTTCTCAAAACTTCATGTTTTTTCTCAAGTCTTAAGCTCTCATCCACCTTATGAGAGGGATGGGGCTCTACTTATAGAGATTTGTGTGTCTTTACTGCAGAAATATGAACTAATTTGATCAGACGACTCAAGGGGCATTCCACGATCGGACGGCATTCCACGATGAACTAATTTGATCAGACGGCGGTCGACGACGACTCAAGTCTTAATGATGTCATAATTGAGTGATCTTGGGCTCGTTGGATTCATCTTGTCAAGAAGCTCTATTTGACTATAAACTCACCAAAATGAACATTTGTTTGACCTTCTAAATATGTCCAAAAAACTTTCAAAAGAGTTTTAATAGTTTGATTTGGGCTTGATTTGGTTCAGACTAGACTAATTTTGGTAACAGTAGATTTTTCATGTCAATGCGGTCAGATTGACAATAATTTTGTTGAAATTATAGTTCGAGATGAATTTTTATCGATGTTTGAATATTTCTTGCTCAAAAGTCGCCTCGAGATAGGTGTTATGTCTTGAGATTCGTGCAAAATGATCAAATTTTGTTGATTGAGTACCAGTTGCCCTGTATTTTCAGGTAATATTAATGTCATCGTCCAAAAATATTAAAAAGATGAAAGCATTTTTATTTTTCATGATATGTCATTCATATTTATATTACATTAAATTATTATTTGAAATGTTATAAAAGTAAAATAAACATATATTTTATAAGAAAATTGAGCTTAGCCCAGTTGGTGCCCTCATTTTGCTTTCTGAGCAGGGTTTGGGGTCTGAATCCCCTACTAAACTTGAAAAATATTATTATGTAATTTGAGCAGATTTTAGCCATCCAAAAAGTGGAGTTTGAGATTTTTCCTTTCCTTCCTAGCACTCGCTACCTTTTTGGGTTAGATGTAAGTCTCAGCGCTTTCCTTCCCAATGTAGCCCCCTTTTTCTCGATCAGCTCTTAAGTCGAATGTAAGTCCCAGTGTTTTGCCTCTCAACTTAGTCATTTCGTCACCACTTAGGTCAAATATAAGCCCCAGCGCATTTCTTCCTAATGTGACAGACATTTTTATTACATTTTGGTTGGATGTAAGTCTCTGCGCTTTTCTTCCCAATGTATCACCCTTTTTCCCAATCAGCTCTTGAGTCGGACATAAGTCCCAGTGATTTCCCTCTCAACCTAGTCATTTCATCACCACTTAGGTTGGATGTAATTCCAGTGCATTTTTTTCTAATGTGATAGAAATTTTTATTTCATTCTAGGTTGGATGTAAGTCTGTGTGTTTTTCTTCCTGATGTAGCACCTTTTGTTTGATCAGCGCTTGAGTCAGATGTAAGTCTCAGTGCTTTCCCTTTAAATATGGTCATTTCATCACCACTTAGTTTGGATGTAAGCCTCAGAGCATTCCTTCCTAATGTGACAGACATTTTTACTACATTTTGAGTTGGATATAAGTCCCAACGCTTTCCTTCCTAATGTAGCACACCTTTTCTTGACATGTTCTTGAGTCGGATGTAACTCCCAATGCTTTCCCACAATCTGGTCATTTCATCACCACTTAGGTTGGATGTAAGCCCCAGTGCATTCATTCTTAATGTGGCAAACATTTTTACTACCTTTTGGGTCAGATGTAAGTCCCGACGCTTTTCTTCCCAATGTAACACCTTTTTTCCTTATCAGCTCTTGAGTAGAATTGAAGCCTCAGCGCTTTCCCTCTCAAACTAGTCATTTTGTCACCACTTAGGTTAGATGTAAGTTTCAGCGCATTCATTCCTAATGTCATAGACATTTTTACTACCTTTTGGGTTGGATGTAAGTCCCAATGCACACATTTTTCCCGATCAGCTCTTAAGTCAGATGTATGTCCTAGTGCTTTCCCTCTCAATCTGGTCATTTCATCATCACTTTGGTTGGATGTAAGCCCCTATGCATTCCTTCCTATTGTGATAGACATTTTTTATTACCTTTTGGGATGGATGTAAGTCCTAACGCTTTCCTTCCCAATGTAGCACACTTTTCTCAATCAGCTCTTGAGTTGGATGTAAGTCTCATTGCTTTTCCTCTTAATCTGGTCATTTCATCACCACTTAGGTTGGGTGTAAGTTCCAATATTTTTCTTCCTAATGTGACATAAATTTTCACTATCCCTGGGTTGGATGTGAGTCTCGGTGATCTCCTTCCCAACGTAGCAGACATTTCTCAATCAGTTTTGAGTTGGATATGAGTCCCTTGGCATTCCTTCTCAACACGATTCCTTCCTACAAATGTTTTCACAATCTAACACTCTCTGCAAACTCTTATAAATCACACAAACTTCATAAAGTTTCAAAAATTTCCCATAACCCACACAAATTCCACAAATCTTCCACAATTTTGAAAAGAAAATCAAATTCTGAGGATAGGAGTAAGACCCCCCTTTAAAGGATGTTATGGCTTCTGATTCCGTTGCTACATCATGGGTTGGATCTGAGTCACTGTACTTTCCTTCCCGATGTGACAAACATTTCCATCACTAACTCTTAAGTTAGATGTGAGTCCCTGCGCTTTCCTACTTGACCTAGTTTTTTTATCAAATCAAATAAAAAAATTATCAAATCCTCAGCAATAAATTTTCAACAACTTCCACCCTCAGAATCTCAAATATCAAAACAAAAATAAACACACAAAATCAAACAAAAAAAAATTAAATCAACACTTAAATTTGGAAACTCAAATTTACATTAACAAATTGAAATCACACCTGCTAATCCGCAACAAAAATTCTCAAAATCTTCAACTCAAATCTTTATTTGAGATGGGAATTCTCAAGTGGAAATCCTAACTAAAATTCCATATTGAACCCGGTTCGATCTTCGACCCATTCTAGGTAAGTCTACTTGAACGATTTTTTGGTTTTGTTGATCGCATTCGGTCAACACCAATACGTGTGGTGCACCTGTTCAACACATCATACATATTAGGGATCCATTTATTGGCCTCATTTTTTGTGAGGTTTAATCTCCCTCTTAAGACTTAGGGTCTAACCTTATGACTTTCCTTTTGACTCTCTTAGAGAACTAGTGATTGGACCCACCCCATTTAGGACTTCAAATAATTGTTTAACTCTTTTTGTAAAGTCTTACATGGGTTGTCTTAAATCCTCAATACTTGATTAAGTTGATTGAGACCAACATGTGAAGACTCAAAAATGAGTTTTCAGTGGATCATGAGGCCTTAAGGACATTCCTTTTGACCTTAAGTGGCTTAGCCACCACTTCACATACCCTTTTCTCACCACTTCACATTCAGTCCATCCACCATAACTCTAATCCACCAAAATGTCTAAAGCTCCTCCCAAATTATCGAATTACCTCAAAATTGCCAAATTTGGCCAAAATTTTCAAAATGCCTAAAATTGACCAAAATCCTCAATTTCACTCAAATTTCCACCAAGATCAATCCTATCAACCCTAATTCACCCAAATCCATCAAATACCCCAAAATCCCAAAAAAAATCCCAAAATACCTAATTCCCACCAAAATGACCAAATTACCCCATATCCACACAAATCCAATTTTACTAAATTCAATTTTCAAATTTCCCTCATGATAATTCCAAAAAAATTCACCAAACCATCAATTGCCTTGTGTCGTGTCAATATAAGTTGATTTGAAGTGGGAAAGGGGTTTATGTTAGGCTTGGGCTTGATTTATGCTAGACTCAAACACAATAATACCAAGGCTCCCGCCAATAACTCCGCAATACAACCATAATAACACTACAATACTACCATTCCCATTGTTGCACACAAATCCCACAATAACACTGTGTTTTCACGTAATACCACTGCAATAACACCCGCCTTTACAAATCCTCACCAATAACACCTCCAAGCTGCAGCTCTTTCATGCCGATAACACCACCCCCGTGGTCTTATTCTAATAACACCTCAATAATCTACCAAATAACACCACTAATAATACCAACACCAAGGTTTTACTCCAACACTACCCTAATATCCAAGGTTTTACTCCAACACTACCTAATATAACTCTAATAACACTGAAATAACACCACCCAAATTACCCTTTTTTTTTAATTTCTCCACATGAAAACTTCCAAACTCTGAAAACGTTGCACAAGTTCACTCCCCCAAATGGCAAATGAGAGAATCCCTTTCCAATTACCCCCAAAAGCACTTAACATCATTCAATGATTCACTTAAACCCAAAATAATCCCAATCCTTTAGATAAGGACTTGTCCACCCTCTCCCCCAAGCTGACAAACAACTTTAGCAATTTTGGAGACCACCCCAAATGTATTTCCATAACTCTAGCCCAAGTCAAAGAA